AAGCTTGGAGAGTATGGCGCTTGCCCGGCAGCTTGCAGTCCTTGAGTTCCGGGTGCACTTACAATCAGAGCTTACGTTTGCCTGGCAGCTTGGCGGAGATCCAGTTGCCCAACACCTTGGACCTGAATGTGACGTTTGCATGGCAGCTTGCAGTCCCTGAGTTGCGTGACGTTTGCCTGGCAGCTTGCAGTACTTGAGCTCCGGGCATGCTTACAACCAGAGCTTGGAGAATGTGACGTTTGCCTGGCAAGAACATTTGAAGCATGAATGCGCACATGACTCATGACATGGGGCATGTGAGGTTGACATTTGATGTCTCACGTTGCACTCCATTCAGTTGCGTTTTCTAACCCTAAACCCTAAGTCATCTTCTACCACATCGCCACGGTGTTCGACTTTGGTGTCTTGCTGGAGCATGACATTCCCCGGAAGAGCATCAATGTGATGCCCATATGGCTTGTGTGACGTTTGCCTGCAGTCCGTGAGCTCCGGGTACGCTTGCAACCAGAGTTTGGGCAATGTGACGTTTGCCTGGCAGCTTGCAGTCCTTGAGCTTCGTGACATTTGCCTGGCAGCTTGCAGTCCTTGAGGCAACCAGAGCTTGAAGAGTGTGACGTTTGCCTGGCAGCTTGCAGTCCTTGAGATTCGTGACGTTTGCCTGGCAGCTTGCAGTCCTTGAGCTTCGGGTACGCTTACAACCAAAGCTTGGACAGTATGGCGCTTGCCCGGCAGCTTGCAGTCCTTGAGTTCCGGGTACGCTTACAATCAGAGCTTACGTTTGCCTAGCAGCTTGGCGGAGATCCAGTTGCCCAACACCTTGGACCTGAATGTGACGTCTGCCTGGCAGCTTGCAGTCCCTGAGTTGCGTGACGTTTGCCTGGCAGCTTGCAGTCCTTGAGCTTCGGGCATGCTTACAACCAGAGCTTGGAGAATGTGACGTCATCTTCTACCACATCGCCACGGTGTTCACCTTTGGTGTCTTGCTGGAGCATGACATTCCCCGGAAGAGCATCAATGTGATGCCCATGTGGCCATATGGCTTGTGTGACGTTTGCGAGCTTTGGGTACGCTTGCAACCAGAGTTTGGACAATGTGACGTTTGCCTGGCAGCTTGCAGTCCTTGAGCTTCGTGACGTTTGCCTGGCAGCTTGCAGTCCTTGAGGCAACCAAAGCTTGGAGAGTGTGACCACGTCTTCCAGCAGCAGTACGACATCCACGACAGAACAGCAGGGAAACCTCGACAAGTACGTGGACCTGGATTTCCTGTGTGATTGAACGCGCAGACAACGCCCCGAAAGGGGTGTGTGTGGCACACCGCTGTACATGCGGGTTCGTGAACAAGCAGGAGCATGTTGTGATGATGATGAAGTTCGTGATTTTGAGTACATCAACATGTTTTCGTTCGGAAATCAGCAGGGGGCCGAGGAGAGTGTGGACTGGGGTGTGGGGGTCCTCGGCCAACGAAGACGCCCCCACACCCCACCCACACTCTGTGTAAACGTACCTGCGCTTCAACATTTCTTTTTTCGTTTTGCATGATGCATGGCTGAACACTTGGTGAAAACGCAGATTTTGCATGAAGCATGGATGAATTCTTTGAGTTTGACGTTTGACACGGAGTTCTGCCAGAACTTGGAGGCAATCCGACTGCTCAACACCTTGCAGACGTTAACGTTCAGCGCAGAGTTCCATCAGAGCTTGGAAGGGGTCCAGCTGCCCAGCAACCTGCAGACGTGGACGTTTGGCGTGCGGTTTTGCGTCTTTCCAACCAGAGCTTGGAGGAGATTTAGCTGCCCAACGCCCTGCCGATGCTGAAGTTCGGTGCAAAGTGCTTGGCGGAGATCCAGCTGCCCAACACCTCGCAGACCTGGAGCATGTGAAGCATAAGCGTGTGGAGCAGGAAGTGGTGCATGAGCATGTTGGAGTGGTTGAGCACGCACAGTGTGTGAGCATGTGGACGGGATGAACAGACATGAGTGATCGAGCATGACTAGCGTTTGCACATGTGGAAGAGCTGAGCAGACATGAGTGATTGAGCATGTTCGGTGTTTGAGCATGTGGTAGAGATGAGCAGCTTTGAGTGAATGAGCATGAGCAGTGTGAGAGCGTGTGAATGGCGTGATTCACGTGCAAGTGTGGGAAGTTTTACTTACTCACATAAAGCTCCATTCGTGAAGTTCTTTGCCATCTCCATGGATGATCGCCTCGGTGGCTT